CCATTTTGAAGCAGGGTAACCGCATGGTGAATTGTACCAACTCAATCCACCGGGGTGAATAATCTGAATGGTGTACCATTCGATTCGGACGGTTACTGAGTTGACCCAAGTTGGTAAGTTTGAGTGACTGCTGATCATATGGCTGTTTCTCAGTTAACCTTTGACACTTCCCGAAATTCCCAGGGCGGGAGGTTTGATCTGAAGAGATTCCACTTTTCCAGTGCTCTCATATGTTGATAGCTGGCTACTCATACGAGCATGACTCGAGCATTTGAGCGAATCGCCGATTAAGAAAAATTTCATCTACCGGGCATTTGTGAAGGCCCTCAAAGCCCAGAGGCTGCCCGGTGGCTACCATTCTTGTACCATTCACACACCATTCAATCAAAACGTGTTGATTGATATGCATTGATATCATCCCAAGAGCCACAAAATACCATGCGGTTACCCTGTTTTGAAGATCCGGCTTTCCGCGTGGTACGGTAGTTAGCCCCGCAGGGCAGCTCTTTGAAGTTTGCGAACCACCTTTGACACTTTTGATGCTCATTTTGAGGGACAAACACAAAGATATGTTGGTGAACGTCGCTCATAAGACCCTCCGCTCGGAAGCCTCGAGCCGTCCCCCCAGGGGGGCCCTGAATCTCAGAATGCCACCAAGCCCCCCCCCCTCCTCTACCCTGCGTCACCACTGAGGCCTCGAGCCCCCCCCCCCAATTAAATATGGGGGGGTACCAGGTACAAAATGACGGTACCCTAAGACTACAACGTTGTACAACATTGCGGTACCGTATAGCCTGCCAGCACCTTGCAGCTCTACCATGTGCAGCAAATGTGCAGCTCACCCACCACTGCAACTGGGATTACATCCCCTTCAGTAGTTCAAAGTCCGTCTGCGTTGGCGTCTCTGAGCCCAGAAGAGCCATGTTGAAAGTGGTTTGGACAGAGGACAGCATTGCAGCAGGCTGGCTGCAAAGGTGGTGTTTGAGCTCAGGCAACCAAACGCTACCCTTTGAGGGCAAGGGACAGGGTTGACACAGTCATCTCTGGTCTTGAAACAAGGGCAAGCAGCTCTTGAAAGTGAATAACGTCTTGCAAATCTTTGAAAGGTAGTAGAAGCTTGAGGTTGAGGTGAGGCTGAAGGAAGGATTATACTGCTCAACTATGTCTGACGGAATGACCCCCAATGAGGCAAGCCCTACTGACAACATCGGTGGTGAGTGCACGTCAGATAGTTTCCTTTTGGATTGCGAAGATGATAAAACAGAACATGGAACACACTGTTCAAGGAGGTGGTAATTCATGACTAGTCACAGCAAAATCTTGTAGCGCCTTGCAAAGCTTAGTAAGTGGTCTGAGGAATCGACCAGTATTTGTTGCAGCACATAGTCTTTTCTGGGATGAGCGGAACAATGATGAATTTTTAGATTATTGAAGGATGCAGCAGCATTGGTGTCTCATGCATTGTCATATCAGCCATGAGAAGGCCACTCAACTTTCTCCTTGTCTCGAACTCTGGACCAGAAGCTTTTGAGACTGCCTCTTGCTGAGGGAATCAGCAGCTAGGAGATTGACAAAACTTGGTCTCATTCCCCGAAGCGGAGAATTGTAGCTATGGGTCTTCTTCAAGCATCAGGCAAGTGCCATTGCCTGGACAAAGAGCTGCCAACCAGAGACTCTGTTTTGCAATGCAGATGGCCCTTCTCGTGCTCAAAGCAATGCTGTTGCTGAGTCACCATCTAGTGAGGATAAGAAGCGAAAAGCGAACCCCCTCTCTAGAAAGAGTGAGGAGCTTGAAGCCTGGGAGGGGCCTGGCCTTAAGAGGATCAAGAAACGACTGGAGGGGGTGAAAGAGGAGGACCTTCCCGAACTAGGTGAGCCGCTGTGTGTCATCCCAAGCATTGGTGAGTACACTAAGCGAAACAGACCATTTAGGCCCTTTTAGATCAAGAGCTTGGTGGTTAGACAGAGGCAAATAAGCTGGACAGCTATTGACGTCGTGCAAAGAGAAGCAGATTCCAATGTAGCTGATTATGAGGGAGCTGGCAATCCTTCTACTCTCCTAGTCAGCTTCAGTGAGCCTTCGGTAGCCGCGTTCTACCAACAGTAAATGTAAAGTAGAGGTCTCAGGTTGGATTTCACTGGCCTTCACAAAAGGCTGCCTATGCTCAGGTTCTATCTAAGAAGGGACTCGATCTGTACCTCAAACATGTGATTCGGAAAAATGGAAGGAACTGGAGGGCTGTGCTTCATTAGTCAACACCAGCTAGTGGGGAACTGATGGTGCCATTACAATTATCGCGCGCACGAACGAACAGCTTTGGCTGTTATACTACTGACCTTGTGAACTCTCAAGTTGACATCATACCCACCAAAGATTCTTCCTTCACTCTGCCAAGTGCCCAATATTTAGCAAGATTGGCATTAGTGCACATCCACTTAGCCCTTACAGCGGAACTACTGGTCATCAAGGTTTGGTGCTGTTCGTTCTTAATCACGCGACCAGATTCTGCGCAAGATTGACCTGTCAACCTGACAGCTGGTCAAGTGATTGGCAAGCCACGATCTTGTTGTTTTTTCTGATCTCGCGATCGTTTAGTCCTTCCATTTATGGAGAGACACGCTCCACATCAAGCCTCAGAATCCATTTTTCAAATGTATCTCTCAAGTTTCAGCATCTTTTGTGCTCGACACTTTGCCAAAAGTCTTTCACCCCATTTCGCCCTTCGCCTGGACCCGGGATTCTCATTGACATAATCATGCTCTTCCACGACCTGATGCCTGGTTCCCTGTCTTCCACCACCTCTTTCAGCCCCCATTCGTACGTTCTGTGCAACTTTACCTTTACCTTATACCCACTCTTCCGCAGAGCCCCTGGAGGTTCTTGGCACAACAGTTCAAGCCTTAGTCGTGGCCAAGTTCGACCGGAGTTATCTTCTTGAAGTCCAAATCGGGCGAGAAAAGCTGCACGGGGTGCTGTACCATGCGCCCCCGCCAGAGCAGAGCTACCCCTTCATCCCGCCCCCAGTGATGACCACCAGGCTGGCGCTGGAGGGGGGCCAAGTCGTGATGAAAAATCCCCCCAGAAAAGTGGCGGAAGAGAAGTTGAAGCGCGACAGAAATGCGCCGAAGCTGGCGCGGACGTGTTACAACTTCTTCTTTAGTGAAGCGAGAGTGAGGGATCTGGAGATCAACCCGGAGAGAGATGAACATGAGCGGAGCGCGGCGATTGGCGAGCAGTGGAAGAAGATGACCGCCGAGGAGCGCAAGGTGGGAGACAATGTCCTCGGCTTGGGTTGGCATAATTCTCTTGTACGGAACTATGAATCTTTGAAAAGGTGGCCGGTATGGTAGGATTTCGGGTAGACTCCGTACGAAGCTCTGTTGGAAAGAGGGTTTTGAATGGAGGAAGGATTGATCACCTGGTCTTTGCATAAACGCGTTGACGCAGGGGCATTGGATGGACTGCTGCTGCTGACGTCTGCCACTGTAATTTGTGTTCCTCTACATTGCCGTTGTTTTCTTTGTGTCATACTTCAATCCCCCGCATCCAAGCTGTTAATATTATAGGACGATTACAAACACCTACTCCTTTTTCCTGTTGCCTGCAAACCCTCCGATCGCGGAGGCAAAACTGTCAATGATGCCCCTAAGCCCCCAGAATTCAAACCTCTTCGAACCATAACCAGGAACATTGGCGAAATGAAAATTGTGATGCCTCATTCTTACTTGGTGCCATCGTTCTCCCCCACAGCCGTTCCAGGAGATGGCGCAGAAGGACAAGGGGCGATACACTACGGAGCTGGCGCAATATCGAGAGCGACTTGCACGCCTAGAGAGTTCTGCCGAGGAGACTCCGTAGCCGGAGTTGAGGCTGCACAGAGGTTGGAGAAGCACAATTGGGGCACTCTTAATCTTCAAAGAGACAAGGTAAGTTGCGAAATCCAGACTGGTGTAGTCAGTATGCCAAGCCTTGTCTTGGAGGCGAGCATTTTTGCATGTGCGTTGGAGAACGTGAAAAACTTCCGCTTTTCTCTTTCTTCTGCAGTTCAAGCTGCGACTATGCTCACGCCCTAGACCCTCTATCTGCTGAAGCGTCGTGCCTGTTAAGTGCTTCGCAATCGTTGTCGTTTGAGTGACGTTGCAAGTAGTAGACAAGTTTCGGAACCTTCGTTTTGAGACTCTGCTTTTGTAGTTCGACTGCAGGAGAGCTTTCGATGGTTTTGTTTCCATTGAGATAGGGTATCCTTGAATCCTTGTCCGTGCGTTTCAAAGTAACGTCACTTCCAACAAGAGCGGGAACACCTTTTAATGTTTTGGCGACAGTCAATGCTTTGAGTTGGAACCAGACAAATGATGCATTATCGGGTCATCAAACACGCCCCAAAGAAATTCTCAATGTTGAGCCGACGTCCGAAAGACAAGGATGTTATGCTTAACAATAGCTTCCAAAACTTGGATAATTGCCGTCTCCTTTGTTCCAATTTTGCCTTTACTTTCGCAAGGAAGTGTCAGAGAGCGCCAATTGGGTTTGAGGACTTGCTTGGATGGCGAGGCTTGCTCAAATGATGCATGTGAATGCTCTGTGGAAAGCAGGTTTACAAGGCAACCATCGGATCCTTCTTTGACAGGGGCACACCGATCGTGGACATCAATCGGACACGCGCACAATAAGCAACACGGAAAGGGCACTTAGACGTCTCCATCCGTAAAGGTAAGAAGCCGGTCTGGTTCTTCGATCTCCGTCTAATCTTCTCCTCGCTCGGAAGTCCGGTAACAAATGAAGGGTGGTAATAGTGCGGAGGCGGGCAACCAAACGGGAAGCAGCATCTTGTCGGAGTCTACAGGGCTAGGATGCATATTCTTCTGGTTGGCGTTAGATCGGCCCCTTTCAACTCACTACGATTGCACAACTTCTCCTGCAATTTGCGGCGTCGATCAGAAGCTCTGAATTGCGCTTCTCGAGATTAATGCGAATGATGCGAAGTCGGCTGCACTAGTATACTGAGAGTGTCCGTTGTTGGTCACAGGCCGTTTACGCCTTCATAGTCGACGAAGCTGACAGGCGGTCTTGATCCGAGGAGTGGGTTTGATGAGAATCACAAGCAGTTCTCAACGGCATTCCTGTTGTTTCCTACTCCGGCCACAAAGTGCTTGCTTGTCTTTTGGAACCCTTGGAGAATGCGCTTTTGGCGAAGCAAGGTGTCGAATGTAAGATTGCTGGCTGGCGGGCCGTGTCCATTTTTTCCACCCAGTCTCAGATGGCCACACATTGCCGTGAATTTCATTTCTTCAAAGGGCCAAGAGAACCGAAGGACGAACTCCTGGACATTGTGAGGTCGGTCTAACCGGGATGCGAGATCGGGCGGCAGGGTAGGGTTGAACACAAAAACAACCATCTTACTTCTGGAACTCACTTAGTGGCACTTGAATCCAGTCTCCTCAAACAGATACCTCGTGGCAGCTCACACCTTTTGGTCAATGTTAGCTAATGCGGCAAGTGTGAGGCTGACTACCATATTGAGCTAAAGCGCGGTTACTGAAGTTTATTATTAAACAAAATATTGGAGTTAAAGAGTCTACAGGGCAATGTCATTGACAAAACTACCTTAGACATTGGCCCAAATTGCAAGTTGTCCATAGGGCACTGCATGGATATGCCTTGATCTTCCGACCCCAAAGCCTTCAACTACATTCATATATGACACTTTCTGGCCGTACGTCGGACATGGCCCAATCGATATTTATGCATGTAGTCCATGCAACCATGATTACAAGCAGAGTCATCAATTGCCACAAAGACAGGGCGGCCAGCACATGGGTCCCTTAGGACGGTTCGGTTGCACATGCAAGTGTTGCATTGCAAGGTCCGCATGGCTTGATAGTGGCCGACGGCATGGCAGCCCCAAAACCTATACGACGAAATGGGCACATTATGGTACACATATGCACGTGTATGCATATACATGCCGCGGACGGCCCCCCGCTAGGAGCCCCCGGTCTTGCTTCTAATGACAGGTGCATTTCAAGAGGCGAATTAACCTTTCATGGGCTGGGTTTTCTAGTATCAATTTTCTCAACGACTCTGCAATCTTATTGTACTTCTGGAGACATTATTTATAGCCGAAGGTGTTCAACATGTTGTATAGTAGACTCTTTGGAAATCGGGATGACGTCACGTTGACATCACTACGTGGCCGAGTAGGCCATGCAAGTGACATAGGATCGAACCCCTGGGTAAAAAATTTGACGGCTGACCAAGGCGGTTCCATATACATTGTGTGAACTGAAAGTTGTGTGAATCTGATTGATTCGAAGTCAACTTCAACAATGCCGTGTTTTGACAACTTAGAGGCCTACGGCGCGGGAGAGGAAGGATCGGCCAAGGGTGCTCTCCATGGTTCGACGATGTATGGTAAGAAGCGGCCTCTTTCACTTGTAGCCATTCAGTGGGCAACACGTGAGATTAGCAAGGAACAGAACCACATTCCGTCTTGAAGACAAGCGGCAAACGCGGTACTAATCAGCCTATTGTTCTCTTTTGAGAAAGTAGGCACCGATGGAGGCGGTCTGTTTCATCACCGGTGCTCTTTGAGCCAAGCGAATTTTGATCGAGCCTAATTACGGGGATCAAGTCGCGAGGAAGCCTAAGGGGAAATCCACCTTATGTCAAGTGAGAAAGGGAAAGAAGGCGAATTCTGAAATGGCTAACAGATCCACTGTCAATAAAAGTCCACATGGACAAGCTTGGTGCAAACACCTTCATCATTGGAGTCGCAAGTTCAAGCTCTTGTTGACGTCCAAAAGTAGTATGGAACGGGGTGAAGGATCCCATGGCGCTTTCAACTCAATAAACAATGGCGTGTGCATCATGGGCTGAACGTTGAGGACCATCATTCCGGGTCGATTGAGGCCATGTGCCAAGATCGCAAAGGAGGCCTGTAATCTCCTAGTCTATACGACCTACAAGAGCAAATCCAATGTGCAAGGAAGATGCGGCTCATGCAAGAGTCAGTTGGGTGAGACCGCCGTGACCATATAGGCGAGTTGGGCAAAGAACTTGTTAGAGGTTCACAGCTACCGATTTCGAGCCGGAGTCGAATGAGCTGGCTTGAAGCGTGCTTGCGCCAGATTGCCGAGCTCGTTTAAGACTCTAAAAGCAATCTTAGAAGCCTCAGAGGGGGCTTTGAGCTCAGTGGATGCGGTTCTTCCAAAGCTCTTGATGCATAAGCTGAGCTTAAATATGCCCTTGATCGGGATGAGGGCAGTGGTGCCTCGGACTCCGCTATGGCTTTTGCAGCTCGGCGAAGAGGGAAAACGGAGAGAGGCCACGGCAAGGATGTGAGACGGGAATAGGGGCATGAATGCTACAACAAGGCATGAGTGGTGTCACATGGCTCGGACGTGCAGCAAACGGATATGTGCAAGAGTGCAGACCACAACAAAAGAGAGGAGGGAAACCTTCCAAAGGAATAAATGTCTCATGTGTAAATTGCGTTACAATAACCGATGAGACTTTTCGCTTCTTTAACTGAGTACTCTCGCGCAATAGTGTCGCAACTCGGTTTTTGGACGGCAGACATCCTCTGCCGTCCCAACCGGGTAGCGCAAAATTTCAAGTGCCGCCGCTAGTGCCCCTATGTAGCTTCGCCATGTAGCACGCAATCGCGCCCATCGCCGGTCTACGTAATGTCGATTTTGTGGATACATTCAGGTATGGCAGGCGGCTCCCCACAGCCTTGCTAAATATGGGAACCGCTTCATGCCAAGGGGCTCACCCTACTCTATCAATTTGTCTCCCTTTTTGATATCAACGCTGCATGCCCATGCGTCCACCAGTCCAAAGCGTCCAACAAGCTTTTCTATCAGCATCTTCTGCGTCAAATCCAAAGTGCGTGTTATCTTGTCGCGCCTTAGCTCCTTTCTAGGAAAGGAAGTATGTCGCCTCCCCCAGATCACGCATGTCAGATTTTTCGGGCAAGTGCGCCTTCACCTTCGCAATGCACTCGCTCTTCGGGCCGCCTGCCACTGTTGAATTCGTTCCTCGGAGTTAACACGCAATCGACGGTCGATACTCAACGATACAAACTTCTCATTCTACGGTCGATAGTACATGACACAATTTACAATCCACGGCTCCAATTTATCGAGCTTGATTCAAACAATCTGCCGTTAATCAACTCCGTTTCTCAACAGCCACTAGACATGTATCGTCCAATCGCCCATCCACACCACTGGGTAGACCCGCTCACCGGCTATCACCCCCAGAAAAAAACGCCGCGTCCGCCCCGGACGCCATCAATTCAAAATTCTCGAGCTCCTCCTTCAAGTGCATCGTGGCTCGCACGTGGCGCGTAACGCAGCCACTCTAAAAGGTGCGCTTGCCGCGGCAGACCATCTGGAGCCCGCCCTACTTGTATCTCCGCGGTTGCTGTTCAAAGAAAGCGTCTTCGAGCGCCTTTCAAATGCACAACTACTAGGTTTGAGTATCCATCACGAGGCGAGAGTCTAAGTCAAGACCAATCCCGTAGCTAGGGCTTCTCTAGCTTATGTGGACTGTACTATTAGCCTAGGTGTTCCAAACTTCATATTGACGGCCTAGCTTCAACCACTCCAACAACTAAGATTGGACGATCATCCACAGGACTCGACTTCTAATCTGATCTTAATCTCGATGATTGTGGTATGCGTTCATCCGAATTTGATCTTAATCGGATCTTACTTAACTGCATGCTCTTTATCTTGGTGGTCGTAATCGATTGATCTTAATCTGTGCTGGATCGGTGCTTATAGTCAGCCGAATTACTGTATGATTAGGGTTCGGTCCGAGTTAGGGTTTGAACTGGTGAATGTCGGCGTTCGTGTACGGCGGCTGATTAAATGGCCAGGCGGTTTGGAGGTTAGGCGGTAGAGCGGCCGTCAATGTAAGCCGTAGATGAGGATATCGACGGCTAGAATTGAGTGTGACTGTGAGCTAAGGCTAGTGAGCCTAGTAGTGTGTGACTCAGGCTAGTGAGCCTAGTGGAACGGGAGAGACCCTTGAGACCTATAATGGTGGAAACCACTATTGTGATGTATCATTCCAAGAGTAGTTTGTGGAGAGAAAGAAGCCGCTTGTAAGGCGCTTTGTGTGTTTCTCTTCAGATGCACGGTTGCCATCAATGGGTAATAAGCATGGTGCCAGGCAACACGATAACACCCGATGACGAACTTAACTACACTACGAGTATAACCATAAACTTGGTGTCGGATTTCCGGGTGTCGGATTTGCAAGGCTCCCATCATCGAAGAGGACGCGCTGGTCGGCACGTACCCCCGCCTTCACTCTCGCGCCAAAAATCTTGTAGATCTTGCTCTTCGCGCCACTTCCGACCAATGTCCTCAAGGCGAACTGGCGCGTAAGAGCACGCCTAGCTGCAATTGGCCTGGGCCGGACTGCACATCTTATGAGACTTGAAAGATACACCGTAATTTATGCATATTGCGTAATTTATGCCACTACATGTAATATACCTAGTACCTAAACTCCGACTAAACCCAAAAACCGTAACCCGTATTAATACCCGCTTCACACCCGTACCAACCCTAAACCTCCACACTAACCCTACCCATTTCAATGCCGTGATCTAACGTATTATCTACCGTGTTATCTCAGCTTATCTAATTACCTATCTCTCTTTGTTTTGTACCGTCCGATGAATGGTACCCTTGAATTTATGACGAAGTCAGCGGTCGGAACCGAGCCTCTGCTGGCTACGACTCTCCAAAATCCGACACCGAGAAATCTGACACCAACTTTTTGGACACCAACTTTCTGGATAGCTACGAGTCCCTACCATGAGTTCCAACAATCTCAACCACCTTTAGACGTCAGTGATCGCACAATAAGATCAATCTCGCTTACATTAAGATCTTAATCTCGCAAGGATTGAACCCTGATCCCGGCCTCATTTGGTCTCAGTCTGATCCCCATTAAGACCTTAATCTCGGCCTCATTAAGACCAAGTTTATGCATCACACAATGATCCCACCTCGCTATAATGGTATAGGATATTGGGGCGT